ACGGGAATTTGAGCTCAAGCGGCAGACAACAAATAATAATAATAATAATAATAATAATAATAATAATAATAATAATAATAAAAAACCGGTACAATCTTAGAAGGGTTCTACCCCTTCAGGGTTAGAACCCTAACTACTAATGGCAATAATCACAACAATGACATCAAGTACCCTCACTATATCTAAAATGTCAGGAAAAAAAGGAAGAAAAACCTAAATAATAATTTTACAGCTCAAATGTAATAGTAGTGCTAAAGACAGCATTTACAGTGATTGAGAGATTGAACAGAACAGAAAAGTTTCACATTAAGGTTCATAAAGTCAGGGCGGCAGGAACCCAGATAAAAAGGCCTTTCTATTATTTGGTAGGTTTGCTATGTAGTTGCTGAGGCTTTATGTCATATTTCAAAATAACAGTAGTAATAGTATTAGCAAAAAAATAGTAAAAGAAAAAACATTTTCATTGATGATTTTTTCCCAACATTTGTGGCGCCCCCTATGGATGACGCCGCCCTTCACATTCACCTATACTACCTCTGCCACAGGCCAGCACTGTAAGAATGTGTGGGCTAATTAACAAACAGCTTCCAGTAAAACACAGTATCATTCAGCACCACTGCAAACAGCCCAAAGTGATCCCAGAGTTGAATCAACATTTTTCTAAAACAGTTTCAACACAAACAGAACATTGTAACTTTCATGATGGAGGATTTAATGTTGTACTGTTGGATTGGACTGCACTGGTTTGAGCTATGTGTGTATGTGACCTTGCAGAATAAAGATGATTGATTACTTATTACATTTCATTTTAAGAGATAATGGATACTGTTTTTACTTCAAAACCTGAATACATTGAGTATGTCCTACATTTTCCAAATGATCCTCCAACATTTATGTAAATCCTCACCCCTACAGATCTTAAACTGCCTGTCTATTATTAACTGAATGTGTGTGTGTGTAGCTGCGTTTGATGGGGCTCAACAGCGATGATGGGACCATCAGAAGCAGCTACAGGCTGCTGGGGGTGGTGTCCCTCCTCCAGCTTCTCATCACTGTGTGTCTGCAGCTCAACAACTTTAGACAGAAGCAGAAAGCCAGGCAGGAGTGGAAGCTCTACAGGAACCTCAGGTACAGCACCAGGCCCACACCAGAGGACATGTGTAGGACGTCCACTTACAGTCAATATACATGGGGCGCGTACACGATGCGCAGGCGAGGCTGAGTGGGGTTTTTACCTGTGAGACTATGTCTCTGTAGCATGTGGTTGCTGTCAGCTTCACTGTGTGCATACTGAGATGAGACAAGTGATAATGCAGTTTTTTATCCAGGGTTTGGGGGTGTGGGCTATATTAACTGGTACTAAAGTAATAACTGGATTATTTTAACTACAGGATGCACTGATTTGATTGATTTATTGTAATGTAAAAACACAGACAAGGTTGTTCTGCAGCTTCATGTTACCTCTGGTACATTGAAATATTCATTCAAATCATTTTAAACACACCACACTTGGGTTTTTTTTTTTTACACAGCTCTATGTAGTTTTAGAGGAAAAATAAATAAACCAGCCAAGTGAAAATAGAATGGACAAGGGTGGCTTCCGTGGTCAGTGTATTAACTTCAGTTGATTATTACAGTGGAGCTCTACTGCACGCATGTCATGGCAGACATGTTGCATTGCTTCCGTGTCCCATGAATTTTGGCCATTAGACCCCACCTCTGTCTAGTCTTAATGTAAGGACAGAATTTTAGATTAAAACAACCGATCTTTACTCTGCAGTTTAATATTTTTAGTGTTGAAGTGAACAGACTTTTGTCAGTATCTCAAATAGTGTTCTAATCAAAGACATTAGAAGTCATCCTCCATGAGGAAAATTGTCAGTAGCTGCTTAGATGTCTGCTCTGGACAGCACAGACCTGGCAACAGTCAGTTGAAATGGTTATCATCAGGTCATTTCTTTTTGTCTGCAAGCACTCATCAAGTGAGTCATAAATAAAATTGTGAATGCTGATTTAAGATTTCCAGTCATCACTAACCAGATCAAGATCAAGCCAGTGTGAGAACTACTGGACATTTAGTGGTAGAGGTATGGTGTAGCAGTAAAAGAATGAGATCCATGATTCGACCTCTTTGTACTGTCTGTCTCCAGTCCTCAGCACACACACAGGTCTGGCCCCAGAGCTGCTAGCTGTATCCTGTGCCTGGAGGAGAGGATACACTCTACCTCCACTCCCTGTGGACACCTCTTCTGCTGGGAGTGCATCACAGAGTGGTGCAACACCAAGGTTTGGCTTATTTCATGATGAGCACAATTCATGCTATTTTAAAACAGCTGTCACACCCAATCACTATTTCAAACTGTGTTACATAACTAATTGTTGGGAATTAACAACAGTCATTTTGAGGTATTGCGCAATTATGGTTCGAGGTCTATATCTATTATATATTTCCCAGAGGGATGTCAATGGTAAACCACTCATCAGTTAACTGCTGAGAATATTTTGACTAGTTATGCATGTTGGTCTATAGGTTAATTTTGCTACTCTTCTAGGGGTGTCATTTTCAGTTATATTCAGAGGTGGGATTAAGTGACACGTGCAAGTCATAAGCAAGTCTCAAGTCAAAACCTTCAAGTCTCAAGCAAGTCCCAAGTCACTGTGGTGAAAATTTAGCAAATCAAGTCCTTGCTATGAGACCAGTAAGTTCAGTTGAGTCATCGGTCATGTCAAGCAAGTCACAAGTCAAGTCATATTCACAAACTCATAAAGATAATATAACATAAGCTGCAGCAGTCTTTTCTTAACATGCCACCGTCTGCCTCTCCTCAACTAAATTTATCTGACAGCTTCAGTTACTAGTTACTTTACAAATCAAGATTTTGCAATTGAAACATATAAAAATGTACAAGTACAGCTGGAACTATGATCAATCAATCAATCATTTTTATTTATAAAGCCCAATATCACAAATCACAATTTGCCTCACAGGGCTTTACAGCATACGACATCCCTCTGTCCTTATGACCCTTATGAGTCAGTTATTGAATTGACAGAAAATAAATTTGCCATTATTTTCATAATCATCTACGTCGTTTTTAATGCAAAAACATTTCATGGTTCCAGCTTCACTAATGTGAGGATTTTTTTGCTGCTTTTGTTTTTTATTATTTAGTATTTTTTATGTTGAGGTTTGAACTGTTGGTTGGACAAAACAAACATTATAAAGGTATGACTTTGGGCTTTGGGTAAGTGTGACACTATCTCTCACAATTTCTAGCATTTTTACAAACCAAACAATCGATTAATGGAGAAATAATCAGCAGATGAATCAATAATGAAAATAATCATTAACTAATAGTTGAAAATGAGCTCCATCTCAACCAACTGTAAAATCCTGCTTTAACATTAATGCATCAATCAATCAATCAATCAATCAATCAATTTTATTTATAAAGCCCAATATCACAAATCACAATTTGCCTCACAGGGCTTTACAGCATACGACATCCCTCTGTCCTTATGACCCTCGCAGCGGATAAGGAAAAACTCCCCAAAAAAAACCTTTAACGGGGAAAAAATGGTAAAAACTTCAGGAAGAGCAACTGAGGAGGGATCCCTCTTCCAGGACGGACAGACATGCAATAGATGTCGTACGAATCTAGTGTGCAGATACTTGTTTTTTATGCCTCGCCTACACAGAGACATAAATGTTTCTGGGCATAATGTTTTCGGGTTGTCCGTACATGCATTCGTTCCGTCCTTGTGAAAACAAAATATCTCAATAACACCAACAAGGTATTCCTTTAAATTTGACACAAACGACCACTTGGACTGAAAAATAAATTTATCAGAATTTTGTGGTCAAAGGTCAAGGTCAGTGTGACTTCACAAAATCTGTTTTTGGCCATAACTCTAGAATTCATATGCTAATTGTGACAAATCTTCACACAAATGTCTAATGGGATAAAATAATGAAGCAGTGACATTATATATCCAAAAGGTCAAAGGTCAGCTTCACTGTGACATCATAATAATCTGCAAAAATACTTTTTTGGCCCTTATTTAATGTCATATCTCAGGAATAGAAGGGGAGACATTTGGTCAGATACTGAATTGGTGACTCTAATCTTGGGTGTCTACCTTGAAACTGTGCTGATTGTATAGATCTTCTGTGCTGTCGGGGGAAAGATGTGTGTGAAGCATGTATGTTTTCACAGACATGGATTTAAACGTTAAGAGAAATTTGACTGGTACATGGAGGCATGCAACTGCAGGGCTCTAATTCTAGTTTTTTACAGAATCTGCCTCCCTGCACCTGCCCTTAATGTAGGCTTGAGTGTTCCCACATCAGTTTGTGTGTGTATGTATGCAAATATAACATTGTCACATGTGTGTTTGTGTTTCTCACAGGCGGAGTGCCCCTTGTGTCGGGAGAAGTTCCAGCCTCACAGACTGGTGTACCTGAGGAACTACAGCTAGAACTACAAAGCCTGATAATGCACACAAACAAACACAGTGGTGGACTGTAATGCTTTGTAGTGTCTGTGCTGTCAGGCCGGCCTCAGGAACATGTGGAGACATATCAGCGGTTTCCAGCAGTCACACAGAACTTTGTGCCAACATACTGTAGTTTCTAAAAATATTAACCTGTATATTCTTTTCATCCTTTTTTTTGCTTCTTTTGTTGTTCATTGAGAATTAAACGTTAGATGTTGTAAATATCACTTTTAATTTAATTTAATCTTTAACATATGCTAATAAAATGTGAGAAATGTCAAAATATTTGTCTATTTTGTTTATTAGGTTAGTTAAATATGAATATGATTCGAGGTGGTGTTGCTTTACAGTGATTAAAAGCGGAACATTTACAGATTACTGTTCTTTTTGGTAGAAAAAGTGTATGTAACAAAATGTAAACACTATACTTTTGTTTTTCTACCTATTTTTTTTTTTACAGGTATAAGATCTCAGACTTTTTTATGCACTCAATATATTTATCTAAAATTATACTCACATATTTGTTAAAATTAGTGAGCACTTTTTCTGAGATAATCCACCCAGCTGACAGGTGTGGCATATCAAGCTGCTGATTAAACAGCATCAGTACTACACAGGTGTGCCTTGGGGTGGTCACAATAAAAGGCTCCTCTAAAATATGCAGTTTTATCACACAACAAAATGCTACAGCTGTCAAGTTTTGAAGGAGCTTGCCATCGGCGTGCCGACTGCAGGAATGTCAATCAGAATGGTTCCCCTCGAACTGAATGTGCATTTCACTGCTTTAAGATGTCTCCAATAATCTGCCACGTCTTTACCGCCCTCCTGAAGTATTTGACATCGCGATGGGGTCTAATGACCAAAGACTTTCCACGTCTCATATTTTTGTGCACATGAAAATTAATATTCTTTTCTCTAAGAACGAGTCTCTCCTGATTGAAATGATGCTGTTTAATCAGCATCTTGATATGCCACACCTGTCAGGTGGATGGATTATCTTGGAAAAGGAGAAGTGCTCACTACCATGGATTTTAACAATCAATAAAATTTGAGAGAAATGTCTTGTGTGTGTATAAAAAAGTCAGTGGAACACTGAGGTAGACAGACTATGAAACTGTGAATGTAAAGATAATGCTTGCTGAAGTCAAACAAGTATGTATCGTCAGAACACCCTGCTGAAACCAAACAGATGCTCTATAAAAGGAGCATTAGCAGTTAAACTCAACATATTAATGATTATCTAGAGCTTTCTCACGCCCCAGACCAGCTGGCAGCACTCAAAAGTGTTTACACCCAAACATTGAGTCCCAACACTCTGGTGGCATATTCTCTGTCCTGTTGACAACCAGCCAGTTCATTTACACTGCTGTCATTTGGATAATCTGGTTTTCCCCTCCATGGGGAATATGGCTGGTGGTGGAAGCAGATGCTGCCTGACTAGCACTGATCCCCAAGCTCAATCATGTCTATTAGAAACACTGCTATGATGGATGTCTACTGCTCTTCCTCTTCTTTCTCCTCATCATTAACAGCCAGGCAGTTGGTGAATTACACCCTAAAATAGTATTAATTTGAAAATATGAAACTTTCCTCTCTGATTTTGACAGTAAAGCTGTGGATGTTGTTTGCTGGAGAATGATCTCCATCTAGTGGACAGAAAGAGACTGCAGGCTGGGAAACACTACCAAACTAGAAATGAGTGGTTAGTATTTAGTGGTTTGTATAATGCAGCAAACACTAAATATAACTATATAACTAATATAAGTGAGTGCATCCAGATGAATATATTCATTAGTGAAAACAAAAGACATGAGATTTTAGATGACATGTCAATGAACTGATATACATTAATTAAAATGCAGACTTCCTTCATAGTGACAGAGAAACAAACCAAAATTAGAAAACATAGTATCACCTAGAAGTAAATTTGTATATTACTAAATTGCGTTCATAATAATGTTGTGGTGACAACGTAATTGCTGCCTGGATGATATTCAGAAACTTTTCTTTCAGTTAATGAAAGTCTACGTACCACACTGGATTCACATTGAGGTAGTTGGGCTGGATGACGGGCATACAATGTACAGCAGGCACGTGCACAGATAGACTCCAGGTGGAACTCAAGCATCTACCCTTTTGCCCTTTGACTATATTATTTTTATATTATATGATTATATTTTAGTTTTTAAATTTGGCCCATGACATTAATTCATTCACAATTTAAAAGTGTGTTATATGTCTTACAACTGCATCTGAGTTGAGCCCCTGCCCCTCCCTCTTCAGCTTCCCTTGTGTCAGCCACACACAAATCGAGCGCACTGCAGACCAGCAACACGTTTCCCTCATCTGCTTTCATGGCCTAATCTGCCTTCATCTGTTTTCAGTATCAATGTTTTTTGCAACTTGCCAGGTACATTTATTATCAGCATTTTCTCACTATATTAATGGCTCACATAAGTGACCTAGCATTATGTCTCCTTCAAAAACGTATCTGCTGCTGATTGGCACCTTAATGTCAGCACCTGTGAGCATGGGTCCTGCTACAGTGGTCAGTTAGTGTCTGCTCCAAGAATCAGCATGCCACATTTAACTGATCTGGATATGGGTTGGTGATAGGGCAACTTCAACTGGTGTTCCGCAAAACCAAGTTGCGGCATTATTTGGAGTGGGCCCTAGTACCATCTGCAAACTGAAGGCCGAGTTCCATATAACGGGGGATGTCAGAGACAGGCCGCAAAGTGGGCGTCCCATGAAGACGGCACCTCAAGAAGACAGTTTCTTCATCCTGTCAGCACTTAGGAACCGTAGGCAGTCTTTTACAGGTTTGCAGTTAAGGCTTTGCAGGACGATATGGCCGATGGCTCTCTGCCCATACAATCCGGAACAGACTGCACGCAGTCAACCTCCGGTCTCATAGTGCTGCCAGGAGGCCTGCCATGACTGCCCTTCACTGTCAGGCCCATTTGCGCTGGTGTCGGCAACACATGCACTGTAACCTGAACATGTGGAGGAATGTTATGTTCAGCAATGAGTTCAGATTCTGCCTATGGCAGTTGGATCATAGGGTCAAAATGTGGAGAAGACGCAGAGAATGCTTTGCTGATTGCTGCACCGATATAGTAACATCTCTTGGTGGAGGCAGTGTGATGGTGTGGGGTGGCAACTTCTTCACTGGAAAAACTAGGCATGTCATCATTGGAGGCAATCTCGATGTAGAGAGATATCGAGATGAAATTGTGCAACCAGTGGCAATCCCATATCTCCACAGTCTGGGACCAACCTCTGTCCTCCAAGATGACAACGCTCGCCCCCACAGAGCGGGGTTTACCAGAGAATCACAATTTGGGAGTGGAGAGGATGGAATGGCCTGCCAGCAGTCCTGACCTCAACCCCACTGAACACTTGTGGGATCAGCTTGGGCGTGTTGTTCATGCCAGAGTGACCAACACAACCACGTTGGCTGACTTGTGAAAATGCTGAAAGACAGACTGGAATTCTATTCGGGTAAAATGGAAATACTAATTTGAATATTTTATATAGGTAGCCTACTTAATGTTTACACTCTGTGTTAGACTCCTCCTTCCTTATTATTTAAAGGGGTCTTACAAATTAGTTTGTGCTAACTTAATTTCGGATCTTCGGGTAGACCTCTTGGCCAAAAAGGGCCATGAGTATACCAGAGAGCAGAGAGAATTTGCCCTCATGCTACACCTTCATGGTCCAAAGGCATATAGTTACCTGAGAAAGTCTTAACATCTTCCTCTCCTGCATCCCCATACATTGCAACGGTATTCTTCATGTTGCCTAATTGTTAAATAAATACATTAACCACTTTAGTCCTACAGACTATGTTTTGTGACAAACAATGAAAATTACCGATCTAAAAGCTCACATCAAATCATCACATCACATAACGCTATTGCTATTTTCTCTGTTTAGTTTTTTCTGTAAGGGTTAAAGTGGTTAAATTACTACTTTTTATTTTTACAAAGGTGGCTGATTTCGGTCGATGCTAAGCCTGGCCTAAATAAGATGATGCTGGACATGCTGGGAAGAAGATGCGAGGAAGACCAGACTAAATATGGATGGGTGACACTGATGCTGGATGCCATGGCCATGAAAAAACATGTGCACTACAATCCCCAAACTCAATGTCAGGGTTTGTAGATATGGGGGATGGATTTAATGAGACAGATGTTGCCTCTGAGGCTCTCGTGTTTATAGTGGTTGGCATACAAAGGCATTGGAAAGCTCCAATTGCTTACTATCTGAGCAGTGCTCTCTCACCAGAAACACTGAAGGTCTTAGTTGTTCATGCTTTGGAAGAACTTCATGCTTGTGGTCTGAGAGTGGTGCGCATGACAATGGATGGACATGCATCTAACATCAGCATGTGCAACCAACTCGGCTGTGAGCTCAAAGGAAACCCTCGCGAACCCCTGAAGACCTCTTTTGCACATCCAGTGACTGGTGAGAGAGTGTTTGTCATGATGGATGCCTGCCACATGCTGAAGCTTGCATGCAACATGTTACAGGTAAATGCTGATTGTTGTTCTAGGCTTATTTGCTTTTTATTATATTTTATTGTTGTGGTGTTTCTATTTACATAACTATGACTGCACGTGACGCTTTACATTTTCCTGTCTGTACTTGTGTGAGCTGTGAATAATAAAAAATTCTAATTCTGATTCTGATTCTGAAGGCATACAGCCCAATAATGAACACCACTGGCCTGGAAGTACATCAGTCAACTCAATGATGTTCAGACGAAGGACGGACTGCATGCCACTAATAAAATCACACACAAGCATGTCCACTTGGACAACCAAAAGATGAAGGTGTTCCTGGCTGCACAGACTTTGAGTCGCTCAGTAGCAGTTGCTCTCCGCACATTGAGGGACCTGGGCTACTCACAGTTTAAAGACTATGAAGCAACGGCTGAATTCATTGAGGTAATATGATTAGGGATGGACATAGTGCCATAGAGGGAGTAGAGGGAAGTTCCAAATACTTGCATGTTGAACATATGGAAATGAGTAGTTTTTCAATTTTTAATAGATTAGTATTAATTTGATATGATACCTGTTTAAAACACTGTTGTGGAGATGATTTTAGATGCTTAAAGTTAATGCAGATATTTGCTTTTAGATGATTGACAGGCTCTTTGACATCATGAACAGCCGCAATCCCCGTGCCAAAGGATTCAAAGCTCCCCTAGGGGCATAAGTTCATATAATGCTCTGTTCCCATGTTCTGCATCAAGTTCTCTTGTTCTGG